GACCTGATCACCTGGCAGAGGTGAGTTTGAATACCGATTTAGGTTTCCCATTGTTTTAGCCTCTGGAGATTGGGATTGCTGAAAACATGATGTACTGAACCCACCCGCTATGAAAGAGACGGGGGAAAGCCTCATGCTAAACTGCCACTGACCATATCCAGAAAATACTCCAGCCAGACTTCTCCGTTCTAGGAAAGGCGTGACAGCATTAGCCGCAGTAGGTAGCAGTCAGGATTTAGGAAAAAATGAAGCAGAAATGGAAAGTTCTCAAAGGGTAAATACTGGGTCTCATTTTGCATTGTGTTGTACTAGTAGTTGAGTTGCACTGATGTAAAACTGGGGTAATGCACTTGAGAATAGGATGATCTCTGTATGTAATATTGAATAGTTATCTTGTAAAACTGTTACCATCCTCAACACAAAACCTACTCCCTCGTCCTTTGTAATACTGATTGATGAGAATGATAAAACTGATTATTAATACGATTGATATTGTCCACCCAAAAAATTGTCATCTGCAAGATGACAAGTAAAACTTTGTAAGGCTGACTCACGCTGTGTATATCTCTGTATCTGATTTCTTCAGGGAAGGACAGTGACCACAGTCTCATTAATCATGCACTTAATATACAGAGATGTTTTACTTGCAAATAGTTGAGAGCTAAATGATTAGAAGCTAATGTCAGGGGAAATGTCCATCACTTCTAACAAGGATGGTGTTACTCTTGGCAGGGCTGCTAGAGTGAGTGGCTTGACTAAAAAAAGGCCTGTCTCCTCCTCTACTCCTGCTGCTGGGTTAAGCGGTTAGGCTGGTCCATGGGCTGCAGCCTCTACACTGTAATGGCAGGTTGGAAATAATTGTACTAGTATTTATTTGGACAATCTTTCAGTTTCCCGAACAGGTGGGTTTGTCATACAAACAGCATGTAGTTAAAGAGCACACTCCCAGCCTGCAAGGGTGAAAAGGTGAGAGGGAGGGAGAGCTATTGTGGAAGAGAAACTCCGAGAGAATAAGGGGGAGTGGGCAGCAAGGTACCAAGGGGTCTTTGCGGAGGGGTGACCAGAACAGAGGGATGGGGTCCCAGGAACAAAGAGATGGCGGCCAGAGGAAAAAGAATGGTGGAGACTTGGGGAAGAAATGAGTTTGTGGACCCAGCTGGAAAGAGAGAGGGAAAGGTTCAAGGAAAGGAGGATAGATGGGGAAGAGACAAAAAGAAATGGAAACTAAAACAGCTAGCAAGTAGACCATGCAAAAATAGTGTGGGAGATGGAAGAAGAAAGACAGAAAGGAGTAAAAACATGGAAGGGTAGAGAGAACAAGAACTATTAACTTGTGTGCAATAGCAGGGAAAAGGCCAACTAGTAAAAACTTGTCATTATGTTCAATTATATCAAACTGTGTATAATTATATTATTTAAGTGCCATCTATTTGTTGACATCACACATTAGTAACCTCCCTTCACTTATTGAAGATAAATAACAGGCTTAATCCTTTTTTTTTTTTATCGTGAGCTAGTGGCTTATGGTATAAAATATTTAACAATGTACATAAGGCACAAAAGCTGGCAAAGATATTTCATTTTAAAGAATACTCAGTGCTAACATGGTGGTGGCAGACCAGCCCTGTATGGAGCAGTCCTAGGCTTGAGAGTGCAGAGGTGAGGAATACTCCACCCATTCCCCCAACTTTTATTCTTCAGCCATAGCTGAGGAGCTGGCCCCATATGTCCCATGCATTGCACATCACTGCACTGAAATGTCAAAAGATTTCCCTTTCAGAAAAATGCTTGGCCTCACGCCTAGGAACTACGTATCTCACCACTGAGTATAGTGATAGGACGGGCATAGTTATAGCATTATTGTTCAAGAGGCATGGGCAGAAAAGACCTATTCCATTCTGAACCCTTGTTTTGAATTGTTCATATCTTTACAAATTAAGAAAATCCCTTTTAATCCAAAACTTCTTATGGCTGGTCATGCCAAAGGTAAATTTGTTTTGGAAAGTTTGAGCAAAATTAATTCAGCCATTTAACACTTTTCTGCTTTTAAAAGGATTGTTGACATTTATTCACTCATGCGGTCACCCACATCATTTCCATTCAGCTCCTAACTAAGCAGTGAAAGTATATACATGAAAAACAGATTGAGTCAAGCAAAATAGTCCCTCTTAACCTGAACTTGTCTTACATCCCGGTGAGCCCTCCTTCCCTCCACACCTTAACCCCTGTTGCTGTCTGAAAACGCAGTGAGCAGTCCATTTGTCCGTAAAAAGCTCTGGAGCCATTAAGAGCCTACAATAGAATCACAGGTCTGGAAGGGACCTCGAGAGGTCATCTAGTGCAGTCCCCTGCACTCATGGCAGGACTAAGTATTATCTATACCATCCCTGGCAAGTGTCTGTCTAACTTGCTCTTAAAAATCCCCAATGATGGAGATTCCACAACCTCCCTAGGCAATTTATTACAGTGCTTAACTACCCTGACAGTTAGGAAGTTTTTCCTAATGTCCAACCTAAACTTCTCTTACTGCACTTTAAGCCCATTTCTTCTTGTCCTATTCTCAGAGGTTAAGAAGAACAATTTTTCTCCCTCCTCCTTGTAACAACCTTTTATGTACTTGAAAATTACTTGAAAAAAATACTTGAAAATGTCCCCTCTCAGTCTTTTCTTCTGCAGACTAAACAAACCCAATTTTTTCAATCTTCTCTCATAGGTCATGTTTTCTAGACCTTTAATCATTTTTGTTGCTCTTCTCTAGTCCAGTCCCCTGCACACAATACTTGCAATGGACTGAGGTTGGTGGGGCCACAGAAAGGCTGCCAAGATTCTTAAGCCCTTTTTGGATTTGCCCTGAAATGTTAGGGAAGAATTCAGAATCTTAGTTCTTGCCCAAAACTGTCCAAGAAACAGGGCCATAAAGCAGATGCAAGGAAAATGTCCTCTGCCTCATTACTAGTCTGCTCTATGGGTCATGCCAACTGGTATGTCCTCCCCACCCTGTGGGGCTGTGGACTCCAAGTTTGGCTCTCTCAAAGAAGCCACTGTTTATCTGAAGCCTTGTTCACATGGAGTTTCATCTGCCTATCAAACCCTAGATCATTGGTTTTCAACCTGTAGTCCGTGGACTCCTGGGGGTCTACAGACTATGTCTAAGATTTCCAAAGGGGTCCACACCTCCATTTGACATTTTTTATGGGTTTCCAAATGAAAAAAAAAGGTTGAAAACCACTGTCCTAGATAAAGGGGTTATTGCTGTATTCAGATAAAAGAGAACTTAGAAGTCAGGCCTGTGTTAGCTGGGCACTTTGAACCAGGAACATATTCAGAAATATGTACCTTCCAGCATTCTAACCAGCCACAATGGGGTGCGGCGGGGGGGGGGGTTTCGTGTACATAAAAATGGTGCAATTCTTCAGGAGCTACAGCAGAAGTGAGTCAATAATTGAATTACAGTGTGCCATTCTGAAAAGTGACACTGAAAATGGCATTTTGGGCTTCCATGTTTGTTTTTCACTGATTTCCAGATCAAATGTGCTCAATTCAAAAGTAAAAAAAAAAAGGGGGGGGGGGTCAAATCCTGACCTATTGAAGTCAATAACAATACTCCTGTTGACTTCAATGGCACCAGGATTTTACTCCGGCAGTTTTTCTAACTGCCAGCCCTGCATGCTCAACCTAGGGCTGAGAATCAAGCTTGAATCTTGCCTCACATTTAATGAATGTCTTCCCTCAGCAACACATATACAACCCCATTGTTGTCAGCGTCCTGCAGCATGAACATGACTAAAAAGAAGTAAAAACATATCTTTGTCACTAAAGCCAGCTGTTCTGATTCTGAATACATTCATGAAGCAGGTCTCTTGAGTAAAAAGGTATCCTTTACCATGGTCACTTCTCAGAGGAAACCCTCCCTTTAACTGCTTTTGAAATAACATGTAAAGGTTCCCATTTCTCCTGTTTTTTATTCTCCCCCACTTTAGAATGTGCAGCTTTTTAATCATTTAAAAAATCTTTTTACATGGATCCAGTTTGTCTATCTCCATCTCTCCAATTATAGAGTTTTTTATCCTGTTATTTATAAGGGGGTAGCCGTGTTAGTCTGTATCTACAAAAACAACAAGGAGTCTGGTGGCACCTTAAAGACTAACAGATTTATTGGGCATAAGCTTTCGTGAGTAAAAAACCTCACTTCTTCGGATGCTGCATCCGAAGAAGTGAGGGTTTTACTCACGAAAGCTTATGCCCAATA